TTTTAGAGAATTAGAAAAATAGGGGGATTTCCAGAACATATTGGTTTTGGTATTGATTGCAGTGTAAGACTAAATGATGCCAGGACCAGCAGTTAGCGTAATAGCTATGTCGCTGGACTCCCATGTAGTCCACTATGGTTCAAGTCCCGGACCCGGTGGCTTAAACTCACGCTGGGCATGTGTAAATGCGTGCCCAAGATCCCAAGAGGAGAATGGAGGAGAAGCGATTGAGGCATAGCCATCCCCCCGGGGGGTGATTTCTCGCTTTCTGTCTCTCTGTCTTTCTCTGTCTGGTGAGTATACACGCCCTATAGCAAAAACCTCTCAAAAAAACGAAACAAAACAAAACAAAACAAAACAAAAGCAGATGAGGGCTGGTGTCTTGAAGGTAGAGAGTTCTCTGAAGGAGCAATGTGATGCCCTCCACACGGAGAACGAAGATGCTAAACCACACTCAGCGAAATTACTGAACATTTACAGAGTGTGTATTATGAGCAGGCCCTGCCCTCGGTGCTGAGGATACAAGAATAACAAGATGGACAAAAATCATGCCCTCTTGGGCCAGCCTAGTGGGTAAGGGAGCTGCATCCACATGACTGACCATGGTTATAATCTCAGTCCCAGTGGCTTTGAAAAACCACCAGTCACGTGTGTGTTTGTGTGTCTGTGTGTGTCCTAAATCCCAAAAGGATGGAGAAATGGAGAAGAGACTGTGGTATGCCCATGCCCCGTTGTGGGGATGCTTTTCTCTCTCCCTCTCTGGCTCTCTGATCCTCTCTGACAAGCACAGGCATCCTCTGGCAAAAAAATAAAAATAAAAGCCTTTTTGATACATATTTCTGAGAGAAAACAATGAACGAACAGTATATATCTATATAGTCTTCAGAAAATTCATGGAAAATGCAGATTATGAAAACACTATGCATGGATTTCAAAACGTTTGCACTAAAATAAAACCCCATATTTTAATTCCATTTTTCTCACTTTTTAAAAATTTTTTTGAAAGTCCCAGAGGGTGGGTGTGCATGCAAGAGAAAGAAAGCAAGCACACCCCAATGGGGCATGGTCACACCTCAGTCCTTTTCCTCCATTTTTTCTTCCTGTCAGGATTTTGGGCGTACATGCACACAAGCCCAGGATGTTTTCCATGCCAATGGTCTGGGATTCGAACCACAGGCAACTATGTGAGAGCTGGTAACCCATGCATAAGGCTTAACCAGGTGAGCCAGGAGGCCAGCCTCTACCTCAGAATTTTTGAAGTACACTGTGTGTGTGTGTGTGTGTGTGTGTGTGTGAGCACGCACGTGTGTTCTATGTGCTTAGGTTATGACACTAAGCAACATACACACACACACACACACACACATATGCACACACAAAGTGCTGTCAAAGACAGGGTAAGTCTTATGTGTACATCAACTCCGCATTCCTATAGACAGATAAGGAAACTGCATGTTATGCAATTTTCCCACAGTCAGAAAGCTGGTATGATATTGGATTCGTCGACAGGCTTGACTGGCTTCGAAGCTTCTACTCCATTGACTTTCTGTCTCAAACTGTCAGTATGGAAGGAAACAAGGCGGCACAATGAAGGCAGGCATCCTAAGCAGCCCAGAGTTAGCCTTAGAATAATAAGCCACTCAGTCACAGTCAGAGAAGAAAGATGTGTGGGTGGATAAAAGATTTATGCATGGCAAGAAATGGACTTTTTGGAATTCACAATGAATGCTAAAACTGTCAACTACATCAATTATCCCCCTGCTTGTCACCCTCACACGGAGACTAGTGAGCCCTTCCAAGTATGTTTCCTCCTCCATAAAGTGGACGTAATACTCGTGTGCCTTCCGAGGTCACTGACATTAAACGAGAAGAGGGGTACACTTAGTAATTGCCCTGAAAAAACAAAACCAAAAACCAAAAAAGCCTCCAATCTGAGCCCAAGGCGGGAATGTGCGCGGCAGCGCTGTAAGTCTCAGGTGTTCAGGCAGCACCACGAGACAAACAGGCACAGGGGACGACAACCTCTTGCTTTCCTGGTGGAGCCACTATTTGCTGCAACAACCCATTTCCTTTTATTTGTACTTTGTTTGACTAGGTAGTGATTATCTGGGGCCACATGCGTGCTCTCTTCCAAACAGGATACGAGGTCCCCTCCCCTCATCATCTCCGCGCACCCCTCCTATCGTTTTCGCTTCCTGCCCGCCCCCGCTTGCCTCAGCCAATCGTGCTAAGCTTTTGTGTGACATCACGAGTTGCTAGGCAGATCCGGGACGTCCTCCCGGCCGGAGCGCCCTCGCGCGCGTCTGCCTGGCGGTGCAGAACAAACGGTCGGAGCGCGTGGCGGGTGCCTGCGAGCGAGGCGCGGCGGGCTGCCCAGGCTGCCCCG